TACTCGGGCCTTTGAAGTTAATAACAAGGTTGTGACAAGATCCTATGAGACTAGACACTGCATACATAATAATTGGAAAAGAAAATAATATGTATTTATATACAAGTATAATAGATAATTTTATATAAGCAATAGTATGTATTAAATCAAATATCTATTATTTTAAAAGTATATTCAAAAAATATATAAAAAATCTAAAAAAGTATTAAAGTGAATACTTTGATATCTAAAGAATTTTTTTGATCATCTACACTATCTTTGATAAAAAAAATATAAGAAAAGAAGGAGATTCTTAAGATTTGATGATGAAAATTTTGTTTAAAACTTTAATAAGTAAAGGTCTTTTATAGATTATGTCTTTACAATGATTCATAGACCTTTAAGTCAAAAGTCTATTTTTTTAATCTACTACACCTCTTTGAACAACTAAAGTAGAGTATTTGGATATTATAGAAGAAACTAAAAAAAATATAAGTTTAAAAAGACTTGCAAATAAGTTTGATTTAGTAGAAGAATTGACTTTATTACATTGTGAATATAAAAGTGTCATATATTTGATAAAGAATTAAATATTTTATTTTTAAAAAAAAAATACATAGATGTTAAACATCATTTTATTTAAGATGTCATTGTTAATGAAGAAGTTTGCTTGAAATAAATATATTCAAATATAAATATGGCAAATATATTCATAAAATTTATAATAGATAAGAATTTCAATTAATTTTTAAATTTTTTGGTAGAAAAATATAAAATTTTTGATAGATGAATATACATTAATATATAATAAATAACATATTAAATTTTATTTTATTTTATTTATTATCATGGATATATATTTATTTATTTATTTATTTATTTATTTATAATTTTATATTAAATAAATATTAAATTTAAATACAGGATAATAATATAATATTTTAGAAGAGATATAAGATGAATAAATTTAGTATTTTAAAGAATGATTTTTATTTTCATTTTTTTATAAAAATGACTTTGCTATTATAAAGTAATTAATGATACCTTTGGTTTAATGTGATACTAAGAACATATTTAAATCTTTTTTATTGATGAAGTAAAAATGTAGTAAAAATATAAGAATAATGTCTTTGTAATATACAAGTACATAACCAAAAATAATTTACTAATCTGAATAGATATTTCCTACTCACATTTTTTATTTTGAAAAAATAATTTACTAATCTGAATTTAATGGGTTTTTTTTCAAAATGTTACCAGGTCATAGATAGCTTGAATTCAATGTGATGTAATTTCATATACTTCATTACGTAGATAAACAAGAAGAAAGCATCATCGAACACGCGACGATGAGAAGTGATTTGTTTCATTCGTCGATAAAAGGACGAACGGATGAAGAGGAGGATTGGGTGGGATTCACACGGGTGCGGAGTAGCCGCGGTGTGAAAGGGGCACAAGCAAAGAGGGGGAAAGGAGTGGGTGGTGGATTGGAGTTCGGCCCCATGAGGTTGGCTGCACGCCCAAAGCCTTGACCCTGTGCCAGCCCAGCCAGCCCAGCCCAGGTGCCTTGCTTCTCCTGGTCTTAGGATGCGTGCTTGCTCTGGAACCACAGAATTGGCTTCGCTGCAGCATCAGCAGCACTACAACACGACCACCACCACTACCACGATGATCATGACGATGACGATGAATGCTGCATTGGAAGACGCAATTGCATTGTCGCAAGGGCTCTGTAGTGGTGAAAGGCCTTTCGAGAAGCGAGACAGAATGAGAATGAGAGAGGGATAGAGAGACAGGTGAGACCCAGCTGAGGGAGGGGGAGAGCTGGGATCCCCTTCTCCACCGGGAAATGTGAACACCAATCGAGGGCCGGAAAAGCCGAAGTCTCGTGGCACCGATGTCGCTGCAAAGCTCTCGCTCGTTCTTTCTCTTTCTCTCACTCCCACCCTCACCCCCAGCAGCACCAAATTTGCTGACGATGTCACGTTTTCTGTGCCCAGTGTGCCTCGAATCTCTTGGAGTTGTTTGGGCACTGAGAATTGGGTATTGTATTTGTTGTTGTTGTTGTTGTTTCTTTTGCCACACGGAAGGAGGCTCATGTCCATTGCCTGAGCGAGCAAGACCAGAGTAGTGTAGGGGTCGTTGAGTTTGTGAGAAGAAGAAGAGGAAGGGCCGCCATTGCCGGGAAGAGCTCGTCGGAGTTCCCTTTACGTTCTTCGTTTTTCGTTCGGCACCGCTGCCATGAGGGGAAACTGGTGTTGGCTCCTCTATGGCGAAACCCTAACTGCTCCCAAACCCTATTTTATTTCTCTCTTACAGATATACACGTAGTTATCACATCCTTGTCATCTTCTTTTTTCTTCTCTTTTCTTTTTCCCTTTTGAATTTCGTTTATGTAAAGACATATACATTATAAAAAACAAAATATATTACTTGTCATAACAATTTTCACACACATGGATGCGGAGAATGAGAGAAATAAAAAAACATTCCATATTAAACAGTAAAGTGGAGGGAACATGTAGAGATAAAATAATTGAAAGTATAACAAAAAAAAATCTATTTGCGGTGATTTGAGACTATCTTAATATACTCAAAGAATAAAACTATGTATAAGTAATTAAATATCATAAATCATTCTCCACAAAAGAAAACCCATGTTGGTCCAAATTATCTCTATTTATTATGATTAATTTTTAAAACTATTTTTTTTATTATCTCTTTCAATACAATGTAGTCTTATAAAAGAGACATCAAAGTGAGAAGATGGTTTGAAAAATCATTCTTGAGAAATAGAGACACCAATGATAATATGTTATGAATTTACATTTTTGCTTAAAAAATGACACACTCTAATAGGGGACAAAGAAAGTTGGATCAAGGTGGGCCTCTTCTCCTATTAAACAAGATATTTTTGAACAATCTTCCAACACTAGTAATATTTTATAAAAAAAACAACAAAATAATCTAACTTCATTATGATTGGATTAAATTTTCCATTTCCTTCATATAACTTCATTATGATTGGATTAAGCTTACATCAATTTTCTTGTTTTCTTTCCTCCACCTATTGCTTCTATCTTTAGAATCGCCTAGAAGTTCCCTTGTTTTTTAAGAAGAATTTATTAAGCCATCTTCCTGATCTAACACCCCCAATTGGAAGGTAGCAGTAAAAGTATAGAAAAAGAATTTATACCTTTTCTATCACGCAGATTCCTTTAACAAAAATATCCATTTTTTATTGTTACATTTTGAAATATCAATATATCTCGACTTGAATATAATTCAAAGACTTTGTGTGTATTTTATAATTATGGGTACATACTTGAAAAGTAAAATCCAGAAGGAAATGGAAAAAGAAAAAGAAAAAGAAAAAGTTGTCGTGGTGGGGATAAAATCATATCAAAATACCTCCCCCCCTTGTTAAGAGTTGGGTGCTGTGCATAGCTAAGCCCTTTTACGTGGGACGTTGGAGCATCCGAAGAGGCGAGCCGAGTCACATGGCCGAGAATCCCACAATCAGATGATGGATGGAAAATACGGATGGATGATCTATGCAAGATGAAGACATGATGGCTGAAGGATAGCCAGCCTGACAATATGGAAAGCCCAGCATGGCCCAGTTTTCTTCAACCCAGTCGACTATCGTTTTCCCTGTCACCCGCCCAGGCTCTGCAAGTTATGGCTTCTTCCTGCCCGAACCGTCAATTCCGCGCTCACCTCACCCTGCCACATAGTTCCTCCACTTTGTACACAGAATATTAATAATATTAATATTAATAACGCAACATGGTATGAGGTTCAGTTTTTTGAAAAATTGTAGAATGGCCTCGAATCCAACGAAGTCCTTCAGTCCTATGACTTGTCTTTCGACAATTTCGCATAGCTTGGCAAAATTAAATCAATTGGCATACAGTGATTTTACTTTTAAAGTAATCATGAATAATATTAGAACTTCTCATGGCCAAAATGCATACACACAAAACTGCTATAAGTACATGTCTATAAGTACTTGAAAAAATTAAAACAAATTAACAACCACCAAAAATGCACTTTTTTTTTTTCCTTTATTTTTCATGTGCTGTAATTGGAAACTTCATCGACGACTCAAAACAAACGGATGAAAGCAACGAAGCAGATGCCACAAGGACGTACAGATACGTTCATCCACGATATGAGGAATCCGCTGTTTTTTCACACGCCTAAGAGCATGGCCACGGGTGGCGCCGACACACTCGCCATCGGGCGGCCATGCTCCCCCGCCCTCAAGAAGCTCCCCACCAACGCCCGCTTGAGGGCGGGGTAAGAGCGGCCACGCCAAAATCGAGCGTTCGGCAGCCAACCTGCCGTGCGAGGAACCTCGGATGGCCGGGCCCGGCCTCGAAGAGGATCCTAGTCGGTAGTCAATATGGGACCGCCAGGTGGTAGGCCTGACGGCTGCCGATCACCCAGCGGGGTGGTCGGTAGCTGCCGGGCCCTCTGCCACCTGGATGCCCCTTACGGGCTCGCAGGGGCCCCACACCCGGCCCCACCGGTTTCCAACACGCCGGATGGCGCCGACGGGTGGGGACCGCTCCGGGCCGCCATGGCGCGTGCGCCAAATCCTCACGGCATCTACCGGTGCGGATGCCGTAAAGAAAAGCCAAGAGGGTGTGAGGGGGATGAAGGCACATGCCCCTAAATAGGTTACCGAGGAAGTATCATCCATGATGTTTCATGCATCCGATGTAAGCTTGGGGTCAATTTGAGGAGGCCGTCTCCAGTCGCCCTTGCGTGGTAAATAGGAGGCACTTAAAAATGGCCATCAGGGCCAGGGTGTCAGCCAGCAGCTGGAGCAGGGGGAGGGCAGGTAGCGAGGAAGGAAGGACGAAGCCAACATAAACGCGAGGAAAGGCGTTCCGACCAGCCCCAGGCACTGGGTAGCTACAGCTTCGGCAGTGACGTCATGCTCTGACAGCAGCTGGGTGCAGCAGCCCCTATGACCGTCCCACCATCCAGCCTATTCTAACTCCAGGGGTCTGCTGTTTCTCTCCTCTCGACCCCGCCAGCTCCTCAACCCCGCCCTCTCTCGGTTTCGCTGCAGCGGTAGCTGCAGATCCAGGTTCCGTTCCGACCGGGATGCTACTGTTGTTCAATGAGCTGGGACAGTGCGTAGACGACGATGGTGATCGTACTTAATTTGTTCGCTCATGGCTGAATGTGCTTGAGCGTAATGAATATGGTGATGATGGGCTGCTAGTGCGCCCAAGGGGAAGAAGAGAAGGGATGGGGCAGTGGGCGTAGGCGGAGCGCGGTTTTCAACGTGCTTTGCTCATCATGTGCTTCTGTTCGGCTGCAGTGTGTGTGTGTGTGTGTGTGCGTGTAGTTTTGGGATGCTGATGTAGGTTAGGAGAGGAGGAGGCTCAGTAGGGAGGGGTGGATTTTCAGAGGAATTATAGCGTTGGTGATTTTTATTGTTACTTGCACACATTGCCAGCTCTTTAAGAGTCGGTCTAGCTAGGATCGAACGAGGTAGTGGTGGTGGTTGTGGTGGTGGTGGCTACCTTTCGGCGGGGGAAGGGAGGGGGAGTGGTATACAGCGGCGGCGAAAACAGCCTGGTGTCTGCGCGCACTGTCTGCTGGGTATGGTGGAAGTTTATGGGTGTGTTGGAGGATCCTAAGCCTGGAAGGGGACGACCGTCGTCTAGTCGTAGCCTGGAGGTTTGAATTACCTCAAGGAGGTGGTGGTGGAGGTGGAGCGCTTGCCGGAGCGCTTCGGCTTTGACTCCTTTTTTTTTGACAGGCTGAGCCCTTCGAATAGAACTGCTTATCTCTCTGGGATTATTATGTTTCTGCCAGAGGAAGTGGAGGAGAAACGGGAGGGAGAGCAGACCGGAAAGTGATACGAGTAGAGTATCTCGCCGTGGGAGATCAACGGAGGCAGGTCGTGTGAGGTTGTGTTATAGTGGTTTGTTAGAGAGAAGAAATGTGCAATAGAGTGGAGAATAGAAAGACGGAGAGAATTCTTGGGCATGCTAAGTGAGAACAGCGCAGAGGAGTGGAAAAGTAAGAGCTTGCAGGTAACGGTTTTCGGGTTTGGGCCGTAAGGAAACTGGCCATGAACTGCGGTAGTGATCGCCTGGAAAGTTACGATTGCAGAGGATGCGTAGGTTATTTGTGATGTCTAATCGGGAGGTTACCTAGAACGGTATTTCTGAGTGAGGGTGAGCAGATTTGTTGTGCTCAGCTTTCACATTGCTGTCTGTATAGATTGTTTTACAAGTTAATTAGTAAGTGAGCTGGAAGCCAGATGTTGTCGGTAAATGGAGGTTGTGCTTATGTTCGTGAGCCAGTATGTCCACTTTTACAGAAGGGAGGGTGATGAAGCAGGAGTATGAGATTGATTTTCATGGAGGCGCTCTGCTGTTATTGGCAGTAGTTTTGATCGAAGTCACGAAGTGAAAGCCTTGGATGTTACAGCTACCCAATAGCTCCCCAGAAGCAGATTGTGGATGTAAAAGCTGAGATATAGAACAAGAATGTTCACGGAAGCCGTTCCTGTAAGGAAGGAGAACTAGGAAAGAGCAGCACCGGTAGGTCGCAGTTTATGATCAGGTCGGTTATGTTTGCTCTTGTCTATTAAAGTGAGGGAAATCTGTTACATAACTCAGAGTGTAGATAGGGGTACTACACACATTACTTCTAAGCTCTTGCTGAGTGCCCGCAGCTGATTTAGAAGGACAGTACGACCTTTCAATTACGAGCGAGGCGTTCTCAGTGACGAGATTCTCAGATGGACAAGGTAATGAATCCGAAGGTTTAAACGGTAGAGCTCCTGTTTTGTGTGATGCGGTCCACAAGGTTGACTCAACTTTGATGTTTACGGAATCATAAACGAAGGTTACACATGGTTTAGTTTCAGCAGTAAACTCTACCTTTTAAATACTGTTTTTGGTTTTTTAACCTAAGTTACCTGCCGACGGTTGAATGAGGATGTTACTCCATTATAAAACGTAATAGGAGATTGACTTGTATAGAAAGTTAGGACACATGAGATAGTGCTAGGACCTGATGTTTGTGTTGTCGTAGAATGAGAGCTGATACTGAAATGCTGCGAAAGTTGAACGCTGTCATATGAACTATGATGTTGAGTAGAACAGCTTATCTACTGTGTGCTATGGTTTGAACAGTTGTAGGGTCTTGAGATTGTAAGTAGCGATTTTATTTTCAAGTAAGCAGTGACTGAAATCGAAAACACTCGTCCCTGTTCATTGACATAGGTTGAGTTATCTCCACATTTCATGGAATGCCTTTAGCCGCACGAGAGTAGCCTTTGGAGAGAAATGCTGTCCAACTGGCTTTGATATATATTTTTTCTTTGCAGTCCGCTGAACTTGGGCTTCCATATCCCTGGTTGAAACATGTGTTGTAAGTGTGGTGATTGCACACTTTTTACTTAGCTTTTACCGTATATGACAAATGATTCTAGTAAGACCGCTGTAAAGGATGAATGACAGAGCTGTTTCTTTGAAAATTTAAAAGAAATTTATGGACTAAGTTTTAAGTGAATTGAAAAAATTGCTTCAACAGGAATCCTGTAAGCCGTCAGTCCAACAAAATCTTTTCCACAATTCCGTCATCTTTGAATTACTCGAAATTAAGTAGAGGATAGCGTCCAGATTATTAATCGAATAGGAACATAAAAATCGGTTGTTTGGAAAGTGTATTGGCATGTGTGTTCCAAGTTGTGACTCTAAGGTAATATCTACGAGCTAATGAAAGATTTCATGACGAGACTAATAATTTGTTGCTCATTCACGTGTACTCCTAGGGGCAGCAGGGATTTCAGGAACTCTGAGGTGCGCTAAATTCTTTTCCATAAGGCTGGCCCTCTTCATTCCTTTGAACATAATTGGAGATAGCTTCAATTGGCGGTAAGTTACATCAGTTTTAGTACGGAAAACGGCTACCACATACTCATCTGAACACAAACAGCTCAAGCCAGTGGTCAGTTAGATAAACTCCGCTTTCATTCGAAGGACTTATGTAAGTTGGGCAGCACGGACAAAATCAGGAGAAGTTCTTTTGATGTGAAACTACGAGGAGGAACGACGAGGCTACTAGGCGTGTACGCTCTCGATCATTCTTCTTTGTCAGCAGAAAATTCCATGAAAGCGTAAAGTAAACGTTAACGACCATCTCATTCGCCGATCCAAGTGTGAGTTCAATACGGGAACACGAGTATCCCAAGTAAGGTGCTGTGAAATGCTAACAAAGCCAGTGCAGAAGTGAGCTAACATTCATTCCTTAAGCTTTAACGCCAGCATTAAGACTTCTGATAGATTTCATGCTTCCTCGACAGTAATCACAGAACGTGCGGCTAAGATCAATGGTCTGTGCAGGTACGTGACTGGATGTGTACAATTAGTTGCTGCATGCGTAAATTGATGGGAATTGTGGTATTCTTATTCACTCTTACCGGGATGAACGAGAAGGATCTAACTATTTGTAAATGGTGGAAGTTATCTTCTATTCTTTATTGTTGATATTCAAACCTCTCAACTTTAATGGAACTTGTTGATGACTCTGATCAGTTTCTTGTATCCTGAGCACTTTTGGTAATTGCCGGTTGCTATAGTTTGTATTGTGCGTGCAAAAGAAATGAGAAGGGTCACTTTTATATATTTTTGTTAAACTTAAATCGAAAAATAACTTTACGCCTCCAAGAGTTGTAAACTAGCAACTATGATGATACTGATAGTTTAATTTCCACTGTAATCATCACCGTGAGAACTCGAATAATGTAAGCAATAATGTAGTCATCTAATTCATACTGTGCTGTCCTATTGTTCCTTAAGCTCTACGGGCATTGTGGTTGTGGTTCTCTGGCTTATCAGTGGCAGTCTATGGTGGTTATGGCAGGTATGATTACGACAAGTCGCCCCTTCCGTTTGTTAAGAGGAGACCTCCTGCGTACTGGGCTTCCAAGCTTGGTGGATAAAGAGTTTGATCTATGCACGGGTATTAATCTGCTACTTATTCCTCTGAAGGGGGCACACCAATGCAAGCCAACATACATCTGTCCCTAACTGAAATAAGAAAGGCCTTTCTTGTGGCTGGCCATCTCTTTTTGCTCCTTTTACTGATCCTGCTTTCGCTTCCACCTGTCTAACCGTGTCTACTGCTTCTCCGCCACATGTAAGAGTAATTTCCGACGACTAAAATATTGGATAGCTGGTATTCACAAACTTGACCATTATCCCAAATATAGGCCCGGATTTTTCTCATATGGGTTAGACCATGCTCAGTATGTTTAAAAGTTAGCCCTGGCGGATGAATCGACTGATTGCAAATAAACCAATCAACTTGAGTCGAATTGGTTAGAGCCAGTTACGGAGCAGCCTTACCAATCGCTCTAAATGTGGTCCTTCTCCAAAAGTAATATTACATATGGTACAGGTTGTTTATATACGATCGTTTCTGCAATTAAGGCGTGTTTAGAGGTTTCCTATAGTTGGCGTGTTCTCTCTCCCCTGTCACTCAATCTTGTCATCCAGCCGACTCTTGTTATCAGGAGGATACCTGTATTGCCATCCTTCGTGGTATATGGGATGATCTCTTCTGCAAATACCAACGAGCAGCAAGACGACCCACGGCGGTCAACAGAGAATTGGGATAATCCAGTTGCAGTCGTCACACTTGATCAGGTCCCAAGCCAGTACCGTAGTGCAAACCGCCGAGAGTGGGAGTGGGATCCAATGATTCTTGCTCAGCACCCTGGTAGTGGAGGATCAACTGACGACGTCGATGGAGATCGCATGAAGAACCAAATATCTGCAGGTATACCCAAGTCGGTCATGACATAGCTAATAACAACTATTTTTAAGTATTAAGTACTCTTTTTACGTAGTCACACCATCCTTCTGAGTCCTGTGTGATGAGGTGCATGATCAGATGATTTCGTAGAAGAAAATCTGCTCAATCTGTCAAATATTCTTTGCCAGTCAGTCGGACCAATATTAGGATGACAGTTTTGATTCTAACTCATGATCAACAGAAAAAACTGTTCAGATGCTGCTGCAGTTACTTATTCCTAGTTTATTTGTTCATCCATATTTTACAGGCACCATGTCAAGCTTACGAGCTTCCTACAATTTCAATATGCTTTCCGCCGGCCTACCATCCAACTTTACCCAGAACCACATGGGAATTTACAGTTCTGCTGGGATCCGAACCTTTGGATCTTTAGACGGACCTGCCCAGGTGCCGACACAACCAAACACACAGAGTGTCCATGAACCATCTGGCATTCCTGGCCTTGCAGCGGCGAGTGGCGCAGGCCTTGAAAATGATATTCGCTGTAATGACCAGCGTCGGCGCGAGTTCTTTGCAGCTGGAATGCACAATCATCATGTCAAAAGAGAAAAGGTATGATACACTAGGTCAGACTGGTTAATATTACGTAATACATATCTAGATTCCATACATACACGGCAAACGTTCTAGTAAATTGATGTTCAGATATTTGCAGGCAGGTCCCATGCGTTTGTATTGTTGTTCATGTGTATCCGCAGTGCTCATTCTAAATAGTCCTATTGTTGTTTTATTGATCTAAGAAGACAAACCATTGCTAACTTATCGTAGACCATTGAATTGAAGCACACAATCCTTCATGTTTTTGGGTCTCATCGAATCTTGTCTCTTTCAAAGGACAACGACGGGCATTCTCGAATTGGGCTTAACCTTGGTGTGCGAACTTACTTTTCTACGAAAGAGACCGTTGCGAACCTTGGAAAGCGACCGACTGCAGGTTCACCTGGGTCTCAAGTACCCATGTGCCAAGCAGAAGGTTGTAAAGCCGATCTTAGCCAGGCGAAGCAGTACCATCGTCGTCACAAAGTTTGTGAGCACCACTCAAAAGCTCTGAATGTCGTTGCTAACGGCCAAACCCAAAGGTTTTGCCAGCAATGCAGTAGGTATGTTGAAAATTATGTGCATGTATTAAGCTCAAACATGTGATTGCTGTAACGAATTTCAGTCTAATGAATATTCTTGCAGTAATTCTTTTATTTTTAAAAGCTATTGCTTGAGTGTTGCAATCAATTTTGTGATGAGTTCCTATTACTAACATACAATGTTAATACCAGGCCAGTTCCTCACTGAAGTGACATTAATTTCTCTATTTTCCCAGGTTCCACTTGCTAGGTGAATTTGATGATGGTAAAAGAAGCTGCAGAAAGCGTCTTGCAGACCATAACAGGAGACGAAGAAAGCCACAGCCCAATGCGTCTGCGCCGGGAGGAACGACAGCTGAATCTCCAGGGATGAAGAGGGAAGACAATCTCTCGGGCTTCAATCGTACCAATGGTGAGGGAATTTTCAAATGAATAAGACAGCGTTAGAAGTTGCCTGAATGCGACAAGATGGATAATTCATTTTTGAGACAGTGTGTCCAGACTGTCTTCTTTTGGATGATGGTAAAAAATTGATGTCAGTTGGTGTATATGAGGTCCAAACAGCCACTGATCATTAAACTGGGGGATCGTTATGTAAAATAACTGTAGACAATAAACATCACTGAAGTAAGGCTGGGAACTTTCAGAACTCATATATTTGGGTTATTCCTTGTCTTAACTATGGCCCCCCGAACGCCTAGAATCAAATCAATGTAGTTCGACAGTAGAAGGCACAATTCTAGATAGTCCAAGAGTATATTTCAAAGTCACTTCACAGGATCAGAACGCATGAATCAAACCGACGGACATCAACCTCGGCGTGCAGATTCGACCAGCTGCACATAATACATTTCTAACAACAATATCAAATTCATCAATCGAAGTGTTACTATATACTTAAATAGTAATTTTCTAAACAACTAAGCTCAGGTTATCGTGAACGACAGAAGACTTGGGAAAAGATACCATCATAGGTCTGTTAAGGATTATAATTGCATAGTGTGCTTTAGAACTTTCAATTACTAAACTTGAGTGGCATGCAGATTCAAAAACGATGAACATGCCTTTAAAGAGTAGAAGCTCACTGAGCTCAGTGTCTATTGAAGACTCTGATAATCAGAAACCTGGCTCAGTCGGCAACAATCCGAACTTACGCTCCTCTGGGAAGGAATATGGGAGAGGAGCTGGAGATGAAAAACCTCAATCTCGTTCTGGAATGCAGATGAGCTGTCAAGCTGTGTCAGGTTCTGAAGCTCAGACCTTGTTCTCTTCCATGTCAACAGTACCCCTCATGCTCCAGAGTACCAAGAAGCAGAGGACCATGACAGAAGGAACTAGCAATCATGGTCCAGACCATTCCCTACATCAACATCTGCAGGTACTTGTGATGTGTGACGTAGCCTACCTCTACTTGCGAAACAGACAGTATTCAGGAGGAGCACGAATATCCTGTCTTCGAAGTTGACGCTCGGAAACCATCTGACTTACTTGGAGTGGATGCTAAATGCAGGCAGGTAATTCAGGTCAGACTGGACCCAATCTTTCACTCTCCTTCTTTGGAGGTCAAATGGGACGAATTCACACGATGCCCAATACAACTTACAACGGAATGGAACCTCGGGTGTCATGGTTGAGGCCTTCCAACACGAGGTCTGAACTGACTCAGGTGGTTGGAAGACTGGGTTCCTTGAATTACCAGCATCTCATGTCCACTGACTCGAAGTCTGGTATCACCTCAGCTTCTGCGAACTCTTCCAACTCTCAGGTACACAATTGCGCAACAAAAGGAAACAGCCATCAAGTTTTAATTGTCGTTGCAATCTTTAAGGTCACCAGAACAAGAACGTATCCGTGTCCTGTATAATTGTGATTTCGTCCGTGCAGTCCTTATTATCAACATCAAAAGCTAATCGCAAGCAATGTTGCAGGAGCATGATGTTCAGGTTTACTCTCCATCAAGCCAGAATCTAATTCCTTGTGATATAGCCAGCCCGGAGTGGATGCTTGGAACCATCCCCGAGTGGATGCTTTGAAGCGACTCCTGTTTGTTGGAGAATTCTAAAAACTAGACGATCACTCTCATCGCCAGCAAACTGTTTTCCCAGATTGATTTTTTTGTTTGTGGTTTACAAAAATATGTAGGTAAAACTGGAAGTTCGGATGAAAAGAATTAATACTCGTCGATGAAATCCAAAGTCTGAATGAGTGTTGGAATAGATGGCTGTACTCTAATTCAACAATAGCAATCGAAGCGCTTTTAGTAAATTTGAAAAGGAGTGCTTCAAACCAAAGCGGGAGTGTGCTTCAAAGCAGAGCCGATGTGAAGAGTCGAACCTTTTTCGGAATCTCCTCGTTGGATATTTTAATCGAAACTGGCCATCTGCGGTCTGGTCATCCCAATCATGCCACTGATTGGAGGCAGTCCTCGTCGTCAAAGATACTATATTTGGAAGGCATGGATTCTCAAAATGTTTTCCTGGGCTGTGTCACTGGAGGAAACACACTTGCACTAAATCAGGGACAGACAGATTTATCTCATCTCCCTCATCTGGTCAGAGCTCTAAGGATTGGTGGAAATCCCGGTGATGGTTGAGGCAAACGAGCAAGACTTGGGCCACACAGCTGCTGAATCCTGGAGCCCAGATTCTGCGAGGTGAATCACCGCATTTATCATTCCTAATTTTAGTTGTCTCGTGTTTCTGAAAACTAAGTGGGTTTCGATTTTGGCGTCCGGAAGTGTCCATCAGTGTGAAAAGAAAATCCCAAAAAATAATCCTTTTAGTATGTTTTTGTAGGAGAACTTATCACAAGCAGGAAGTGGATTATGGGATTGATTTGGTGGTTTTTTTCATTCCATGGTAGATTCACTGAAATCCGTGTCATAGTGGATTGTGTCGGTTTTCACATATTCTAAGTTGTAGTCTTTGTTACTATGTGGTGGTCGTCCATCCTTCATTTATCGCTTGTTATTTTTGTAAGTTGCAAAATAAAATTATTTTACAATTATAAGATTATACATATGAAACAAAAAAAACGTTCTGAAATTTGGGATATGTAGTTTACAAAACGACAAATGAGTGTTTTTAGTTCTAAACAAATCTGTAAGTCATGACATATATAGATGGTTGGCTGTCATACTAAATAAATCAAGTCAAGTTTGTATTTTATTTGTCAATGCAAAAAAATTATAGTTTTACATTCACCCTGGTAAGAATTTTTTTAATATAACACTGCTCAACTTCACAAGTTCATAATGCAAATTTTGTCTGGACACGAGATTTTGAAATCGTTTCTGGTATACTCTCTCTCTGTAAAATACATATGGAATGGAAAACTCAGTGAGATTATTATTTACTGAAATATGATCTGCAGTAAATTTACAAGTTTTATGATTCTTTATCAATATGGGTGTTGTTAAATAATATTTTAAGAACTCTGACTGGTAGGCCCTTACATACCATTTGACCAATAGATGCAAGGTCAAATGCTTTAAATGTCGTCACACCAAAAAGACCAATAAAAGATTTGAATCTTAAGATTTATAAAGGATATCAGATAGGTTAACACTCAAAATAAAGACATTTGCATAAAAATTAATTTAGTCTTTGTTTTATTGATTAAATATTGATATTTAATTCACTTAGTTAATTATTCCAATATAAATAAAAACTATATACAAATAAATATTAATGATCGCAAAGTATGAATTTTTTTCTGCTGTAATACACTAAACTATAAAATTCTTGGAATTGATTTTTTCTGGAAAGAATAATCCACACGATTGAAATTAATATTAATTTTTTTATTCATTTATGATAATTGTTATAGAGGTTCTAGAAAAATCATAGGATTAAGGGATTTCTTCAACATATATTTTTTAACCACATGATACTTTCAAGAATGTTTTTAATGTAATAAGTTTTCCATTCCGTGTATATATATAGAGTATACCAAAAACCACTTTACAATGCCATTTAGAAGTTACAAAACATTCTATGCTGCATCTGATTTTCCAAAAAACTTACTTAAGTATCCAACTCTTTATCTATTTCATCAATAACTTCAAAATATACTTCTATTAAAACCATGATGAAACTTATTCACATTTAGTATCAAGAAATTTAAAGTTTAATTGCTGAACTATAATTTTATCCTTTAGATAGACTTAAAGATCCTTTTGAGTTTACAAGGAAATATTTGCATATATACATCCATTTTTACAATTTTAAGATTAAATTTTTATATTGGTTAAGTCTTTCACATTTTACAACATAAAGAATTCTCAAGTTTGATTTCACATACAATATTTTTTTTACTTATAATAAACTACTTATACTAATAGTATATTGCTAAAATAAAACCTCTACTCAAACGTTTTTTTACTAAACATATTTTAGTCAAATTTTTGAAATTATTCAATCAATTTTTTTTAAAAGATTTTTTTATTTTAGTAATTTTATAAGAATATAATGAAAAATAGTAATATTATAAAATTTAAGGAACACACACACACACACACACACATATATATATATATATATATATATATAGAATTATTTTGATATATAAATTTTATATTTATAATTTTTATAAAAATACTTCAAAAGCCTATTTTAGAATATAATTGTTTATAAACCTTATTAAGATTCCTTGCTTCATAAAGAATAGCCCAGTTTTAGAAGCTGTGGCCTTTAGATATAGTATATAGAGTGAAAGAAGCAGTGAAACACACCAAACCAATATTTTATTACAAGTCTAAATATATTAGCTCATATCTTTATACTAAAAATTATCTATATATATATATATATATATATATATATATTCAATGTTTGTTTTCAATGTTTTTCAACATAACTTTTTAATAATTTCTTCAAAACATCTCTTGTAATGGATCCAATACAAATTCAAGGAGAAAAAACCATTCATTCCATACAAGAAAAAAGTAAATTCTACCTCATCTATTCTTCTTAGAAACTTAAGATTGACTTTCAAAAATATTCCTCCAAACGAAATTATTATCTCATTTCAATAATTTAAAAATATATTTTTTAGTTTTCATCAATGAATTTTAATTCTTTTATTTGCATAATTTTAAATATATATTCATATATAATTAAAATATATTTTATTGTATTATAAAAACCAGAAAAAATATTTAATTTTATGTTAAAACATCTTAAAATATAAATATCTAAGACCATTGCAGTTATTAAACATAGTAATAAACAAAATAAATAAATAAATAAATCGTTATTGAAAATATAGATACAAAAATTTCTATTGAGAGTGTTTTTTATATTTAGATTTTTATTTAAATGTGATTAAGTGAATTAATGATTTGAGATATAAGTTTCTATACATTGACTATTTTAAAGAACTATGTTTAACTCTCTTTTTTTTATTTACTTAATTCTATTACATTGTGTTTGATAAGTTTCATTTTAAAACTTTTAAGTTTGCTATATTACAAGAATCATGTTTTACATTTAATATTTATTAATAAAAAATAACAATAAATCATTATTTTGAACATTTAATAAAATATTTTTCATTTTTAAATTATAAGTAGAGGATTTCAAGTACTATGATAGATATTTTAAAAATTCATAGCGATAGAATTTTCTGGTCATATTATACATAATTTTTTTATTTTTTTATTTTTTTTAATCTTATATTAGATATATATAAGTATAGGTTGACTAAATATTTTTTTGTCATAAGTGAACTATCTAATCATTTGGTTGGTAGAGACTTTATTTAATTTTTTAAACTTTATATTCATATAATAAAATACAATCATATATTTTAAATTTGAAAATGTGATGTAAAAAGAATTATGTGCTATTGCATAAAGAAAACTATAAAAAAAATGTCTTGCTTGTATTATTATTATTATTATTATTATAATATATATATATAGGTGTGTGTATACCTACATATTAAAGGACTAGCATATCCATGCCCTTAGGCATTGCAATCTTTGGCACATCCATCCATTTCTTCATTCATCTATGCTTTCTTGTTCCCAATTTCCCTCGTTTCCACATATCAATGTTTATTGGTTCCCATGCTCTTTGATTTCTTATTTTCTACTGTTCCTAGATTTCTTTGTTTTCATGTTTCATGGTATATGTATTCTCTTCTTTATATGTTTGTTCTTATGTTCCCCAAGTTCTCCACATTCCCTTCTTCATGAATAGTCACAAAGAGTTTTTGTCTCTTTGTGTTATATCCAAGTTGTCTTGTATAATGAATAATGAATTTAATTCATAATGCCAATTTAATCTCTATTATGATGCAAAGATATTTATTATAAATATATATATATATATATATATATATATATATATATACACATATTTTTATTATTTAAAAGATATTTTTATTTTAAAATAAATAAAAGATTTCAACTTTAAACTTCTTTAATTTGTTAAATTTAGAAGCCTCATTCTATTAACTTAATACTAAGAAATTTAATCTAAATAATCAAAGAAAAAGAAAAAGATAAGCTTGGATAAAATAGATGAGATATATAACAGAATTAGAACTATAACAAAAAAATCTATAACTCATTAGTCTCTGATTTTATTTTTTCTTAACTACTTAATTTTTTGTAGTATATATTGTGATTTATTTATAAGATAAAAATTGTTGGTTCTATTTTACTTCAAAAGTTGTTATCACTTTTGAATAACATTCTTAGTTATTTTATTTTGATAAGATAATAGCTTGAATAATCTATTTATATAACTTTCATTACTCTAATTTTTATTTTGAGGTCTTAGAGACAAGATTACTGTAAAATAATTCGTTAAACTAAAATTATATGTTTTAAAATATATATATATATATATATATATATATATATTAATAAAATTTTATGTGAAATTAATATTATTCGCTTTTTTATAAAAAAATATATTAAAAAATATTTTTCACAAAATTTTAGACAAATTATTTACAAATTATTATTTGGTAGTAAGAAAAAAAACACACACACATATATATATATATATATATATATATATATATATGTCACATTTAATGAATTGAATGGGATGATAATTATTTTTTAATTTCAATTAACTATGGTATAAAAATGCATAAAAATAATAAAATTTCATACAAAAGAAAAACTTATAAAAAAATGTATTCTAGATATCAGAGTTAACATCAAAGTTTAACATGTCCTGCATGTTATTTTTCAATCAATAATAACTTCATTTTACTACTTATGTTGCTTATAATCGGATAAGATCTAGGCCTTAAATAAAACTTAGAGCGGGTCGCAGCTAATTGTTTTTAAATATTACTTAAAGATAATAAAATCAAAATAGAATCTAACAATGACTAATTACAAGAAAATGCAGCTAGAAGGATTCTAGAAGTAACCAATTATATGATAAGCTTTACAAAAAACTAAAACTTCAGTCATTAAAATTCTTGTATTATATAGAAAAAGAATCAAATGAATCAAATGAAGTTTTAGTTTTTTGTAAAGCTTATCATTAATATATCTTTAAGATATTAATATTTTTTTCGATATTTCTATTTTTAAACAACTAATTAATTCATAATAAAAATAATAAAATGATTCTTTTTTTTATTCTGTTAATTTTCTTTATATAGAGAATCATCTTTGAATTTTAATGATTAAATATTATTTAAAACAAAAACTTATTAAAAATCTTAGTTATTTTTAAATATATTGTACTGATTAGAGGTAAAATAGAGTATCTTACATCCAAAATAAATAAAAACATTGAAAATCGAAGAAAAAAATTGTACTTTCACTTTACATAGAAGTAATGTTTATGACATTTCATTGACCAATTAGACCAAGATTAGTATATGCTTTTTAAAATAAATTTCGATAAATTTTAAAAAATAAAAATAAACAGAATGATATATATAGATACACAAAATTATACGTTTAATTGTGGCAAGTATCAAGACAACACATAGATTGGCTAAACTTATATTTATGAAATTTCAGATTGTAGTATTAATA